ACAGCCTCACAGACTCACAGACACACACACCGGCACACGCAGACACACATACACTCGCATACACAGACATACAACAAAGGGGGGAAGGTGACTGTAGGCGTCCTTGAAAAGGAAGGTCTTCAGGTGCGACTTGAAGATGAGGGAGGGGGCAAGGCCAAGGGATTGAGGGAGTGAGTTCCAAAGATTCATGGGGTAGTAGCTGAATGCACGGCCGCCACTGGTGAAGCTGAGGATTCGGGGGACACGGAGGAGGCCAGAGCCAGTGGAGCGGAGGCAGCGGGTACTGCTGTGGGGAGAGAGAGCAGGTTCGAGAGATGGGGGGACAAGGAATGGAGGGATTATACACTAGAATGAGGATCTTGAAGTGGATCTGCTCTTGACAGGAGCCAGTGGGGTTTGGCCAGGACTGGAGTAATTGGGATGTGTAGTTTGTTACGGGTGAGAATGCGGGCAGCGGAGTTTTGAATGAGCTGGTTTTTGTTAATAGTGGAGGAGGGAAGACCAGCGAGGAGGGCGTTAGAGTTATAATAATAATAATAATAATAATCCTTGCATTTGATATAGCGCTTTTCACGTCGGGAGGACGTCCCAAAGCGTTTCATAGAACACACTGTAAAGTGAATTGACTGTATATTTGTGGGCGAACACGGCCGTCAATTGCGTACAGCAATGTCCCACAAACAGTCGTAGAATGAAAATGACCAATTGTTATTGTTTTTGGTTTTGGAGGGATTATTATTAGGCTCTGTGTGGAGTAAGGAAACTTGTCCAACGTTTCGCCCTTTGCCTGGAATTGAACTCAGGTCTCTCGCTTGCAAAGCGAGTGCTCTAACCACTGAGCTACAGGACGTCCAGGTGACGAAGGCACGGAAAGGATTTCGGCAACTTTTGGGGTGAAGTGTTGTCGGAGATGGGCAATGGTGGAGATGGAAGAAAGCGGTGCTGGTCAGGAACCGGAATGTGGGGCAGGAAGGATAACTGAGGATCGAACTTGATGTCTAAGTTACAGACGGATTCAGAAAGTTTTAAAGACACATTGGGGATAGGTTGAGGAGGTCGGAACCGTGAGACAGAAGACGTCGGCGGGAGCCATACACAGACCAGACAAAAGAAACACACATTATTATATTATTATTGTTCACACACAAGCCACGCACAAACTCACACAGACACATACACCCATACTCACACAAACTCAGACACACACAGACACACAAACTCAGACACACAAGACACATACATACACAGACACACACATACCCACATGGCACACACATACACACACACACACACATTCACAAACACACTGACACACAGAAACACACTCACGCATATGCACATAGACACATACATAGACACACACAGACACACACAAAGCCATACACAAGACACACACAGACACACATTCACACAGACACAGACACAATACATGCACACATAAAGCACACAATACACACACACACTCACACAAACACACACACTCTCACACATACAAACACACAGGCAAACACATACACAAAGACACACACAGACACATACACCTTTGTTTACCAGCAGTAAGTAGGAATACACACAAATACAATCACACAAATACACACAGAACACACACGTACACAATACACACAACACATACAATACACACACACATAACAACATAATTACATTGTAAAGTGCTTTTCATGTCGAGAGGACGCCACAAGGCGCTAGACCCGAGTTACAGACCCGAGCTGGGGGTCGGGGTGGGGGAGGCGGGAGGGCAGGGAGGGGAAGCAGGGAGATCTCTTGAGATAAATCATGAAGATGGCGAGGGAGGGGGAAAGACGGAGGGACTGCGGGATGTAGTTTGAGAGGGTGGGGACAGAGCGGCGTAAGGCCTGCCCGTCAATAGTGGGGTGAGGGAGGCTGGGGACGTGAAGAAGGCTAGAGCCCACTGAGTGGAGGGAGCGAGCAGGTTGGTAGAGGGTCAGGAGGTAGCAGAGGTCGGGGGGAGCAAGACATGGAGGGCTTTGAAGATGAGGACCAGGATCTTGAACTGTATCCTCTGTGATGGGAAGCCAGCAGAGTTGGGCAAGGAAGCGGGTGATAGGGTCACGGAGTCTGGTACGGGAGAGGACACGGGCTGCAGAGTTCCGGATGATCTGCATCCTGTGGAGGGAGGAGTTGGGGAGGACGACAAGCAGTGAGTTTGCATAGTCAAGCCTCAATGTAACAAAGGCGTGTATGAAGGTCTCGGGCGCCTGCGGTGTGAGTCAGTGGCAGAGCCGGGCGATATTGTGAAGGTGGGGAAGGCAGAGCGGGTCATGGCGGAGATGTGGGGTAGAAAGGATAGTTGAGGGTCAAACAAGACCCCACAGTTCCGGACTGGTTTAGCAAAGTGGAGGGTGCAACCATGGATGGTGATGCTGTCAGCGCCTGAGGTGAGGAGGTGCTGATGGGAGCCAATCAGGAACCTCGGTCTTGTTGATGTTCAACTGAAGAAAGTTAGCTCTCATCCAGGACTTGATGTCTGACAGACCTTGTGTCAGGACAGCAATGGTCCTGTAGTCAAGGGTGGAGGCAGAGGTAGAGTTGGGTGTCATCTGCATATATGTGGAAATTCACCCCATGTCTGCGAATGATGTCACCAAGAGGGAGCAAATAGATGTTGAAGAGGAGGGGACCGAGCACAGTTTGGGGCGGTAGTTTGGGAGTAGAGAAGGGAAGGGTTTTTAAGGTAGCAATGATGACGGCGATTTTTAATGGGGTGGGAACAGTACCAGAGGACGAGGAGAGGTGGGGTTGATCAGGGCTATAGGAAGAGAGCGGGGGGAGTGGGGTTGATCAGGGCTATGGGGAGAGAATGGGGGGAGTGGGGTTGATCAGGGCTATGGGGAGAGAGTGGGGGAGTAGGGTTGATCAAGGCTATGGGGTAGGGTTGGGGTTGAGGGAGCAAGTGGTGGGTTTCATCCAGTTTCAACACAGACATAGACATATACACACAATACTCACACACATTATACACATAGTACACACAACACACAGAACACACACACAGACACACACAATACACAAACACAGACACCCACACAACACACACAGACACACATGTACTCACATATACACACAGACACGACACACACAGACACACACATACATACAAGGATAACACACGCTTACAGAGGACGACATTAAAAAAAATGCAGCGAGATTTAGATAGGTTAGGTGTTTGGGCAGGTAGGTGGCAAATGAAGGATAATTTAGGGAAGTGCAACGTCATCCACCTCGGTAGCAAAAACAGTAGAGTGGGTTATTTTTTAGAAGGGGAGAGATTGGAACGTGTTAGTGTCCAGAGGGACTTGGGTGTCCTTGTACACCAATCACAGAAAGTTAGTCTGCAGGTGCAGCAGCAATTAGGAAGGTGAACGGTATGTTAGCATTCATTATGAAAGGATTAGAGTATAAGAGTAGAGAAGTCTTGATGCAACTGTATAGGGCCCTGGTGAGACCACACCTGGAATACTGTGTGCAGTTTTGGTCTCCTCATTTAAGGAAGGATGTACTTGCCTTGGAGGGGGTGCAGCATAGATTTACTGGGTTAGTACCAGGGATGAAGGGGATGAGTTATGAGGAGCGGCTGACCAATTTGGGCCTATATTCTCTAGAATATAGAAGAATTAGAGGGGATCTTATAGAAACCTAAAAGATCATCACAGGGCAATGATAGAGTAGATAGTGGGAGATTGTTTCCCTGGTTGGAGAAACTAAAACCAGGGGTCACAACCTTAAAATCAGAGGCAGCCCTTTCGCAACGAGTTGAGGAAGAACTTCTTCACTCAAAGGGTGGTGAATGTATGGAACTCACTACCCCAAAGGGCTGTTGACGCTCAGTCCTCGAACATATTCATGAGATAGATAGTTTTCTTATTGCAAAAGGGATTAAGGGATATGGGGATAAGGCAGGGTTAGGTTATTAGCTGGAGTTAGATTAGAAGATCAGCCATGATTGAATGGCGGGGCAGGCTCGAAGGGCAAATGGCCTACTCCTACTCCTTCCTGTGTGTTATGTTACACACAGACACACACACAGAGACACACAGACAGACACACATACACAATTACACACACATACACTCACACACAGACATATACTCACACAGACACACACAGACAAACACTCATGCACACAGACATACTAACACACACAGACACACACACACAGAGACAAGGACACAAGCACACAGACACACATACAGACACAGAAATAAATCACATTGGGCTGAATGGTGGAAAATGCAGTTTAATTTGCAGTAAATTTAGCACACACAAAAATTTAGCTCACTCAGAGAGACAGAGAGATGGAGGGAAAGAGTGAAGGAGTGAGAGAGAGAAAAACATCACTCAGACAGAGGGAGAGCAGCGAATGGAGCAATCGATAGAGGTAATGTGTCAGACCTGACTCAGAGCGAGAGAGAGAGATGAAGACCGATGGAAACAGAGAGATAAAGATGTCAGTCAGAGTGGGAGAGAGGGCAAGAGTGTGAGAGAGGGAAGGAAGGAGAGAGAGATAAAGGGAAGGAGATAATAGCATCGCTTAGTGAGAGCGAGGAACAGAGCGATCGAGAGAAAGGGAGTGTGTCAGATATGACACAGCAAGAGAGGGATGGATACAGAGGAGAAAGAGAGATACAGAGCTCACTCAGAGAGCGAGTGAGTGATGGAGAGGACCGAGTGTGAGAGATGGATGAAGGGAACAAGGAGATAGATACAGATGTGACTCAGTCACTAAAAGACAGAGATGGAGCGAGTGTGAGAGCAAGTGAAGGAGAGAGAGGGAGATAAACAAAGGAGTGTGTCAGAAATCACTCAGAGGAAGGGAGAGAGAGATCGAGTGTGAGAGAGGGATGGAGGGAAGCAGAGAGATATAAAGACGTCACACAGAGACCTAACACCCTCAATGAGAGAGAGAGGGAGAGAGATACAGACGTCAGTCAGAGAGAGGGATGGAGTGTGTGAAAGGGGGAAGGAGAGAGTGAGATAAAGATGTCACTCAGTGAGAGGGAGAGGGAGTGAGACTTACCTCAGATATTAAGCGACAGAGAAAAGAGATGGAGTGAGCATGAGAGGGGGAGCGAACAGAAGGGAGAGAGGGATGAAGGGAAGGAGAGACACAGACGTCACTCAGACACTAACACACCCGCTGAGCCACTCTTCCCTGCTCCCTCGCTCTCTCGAGACATTTTCTCCTCGTTTACAAGACGGATGTCATGTTTGGCTCGAAATTCGTTCAGTTCCTTTCCTTTGGATACCATCTGTGTTGCAAAACTGTCGATCAGCTTCGCTAGCTGTGAGAGAATGAGAGAGGCGGGGAGAAAGTGAGAGTGTGTATCTCTGTGACCTCCTAACCCCCTACCAACCCGCCCGTTGCCTCCACTCAGCCCGGCTCTGTCCTGCTTCACATCCCTTGACCCACCCGTCCCACCATTGGCGGGAGAGCCTTCAGCACTCTGCCCCCAACCTCTGGAACTCTATCCCCCAATCACTCCGCCTCGCCCCCTCCTTAGCCTCCTTCAAGTCTCGCCTCAAGACCCTCTTCTTCGACTATGCCATCAGCCATCCCCTTCCCCTCCCTTCTCCCTTCTCCCCCCGACCCGAGCTCGGGTCTGAAATGCTGTGACTGTCCAGCACCTTGGGACGTCCTCCCGATGTGAAAGGCACTATACACATGTAATCTACTTGTTCTTCTTGTTGTTAAGAAAGTGTGTGAAAGATGCAGAGTAAGAGACACGCACAACAACATGAAAATTATATTTGTAAAGTGCCTTTCATCTCGGGAGGACATTACCAAGGCGCTGGACAGACAGAGTTTCGGACCTGAGTTGGCGGTCAGTGAGGGGGAGGGGGAGGGCAGGGGGGGAAGCAAAGAGATCAAAAGTACAGTCGGAGATGAGGGTCTTGAGATGGGTCTTGAAGGTGGTGAGGGAGGGGCGAGACGGAGGGACTGTGGAATGGAGTTCCTTAGGATGGGGGCAGAGTGACAGAAGGCCTGCCCACCAGTAGTGGGACGAGCGAGGCGGGGGATGTGAAGCAGACTGGAGCCCGCTGAGCGGAGGGAGCCAACAGGGTGGTAGGGGTTAGGAGGTGGCAGAAGTCAGGGGGAGCAAGAACATGGAGGGCTTTGAAGGTGAGGACCAGGATCTTGAACTGTATCCTACATGCTACAGGACTCCACCCACTGAGCTACAGGACTCCACTACAAGGCAAGAGCGGGGGAGTGGGGTTGATCAGGGCTATGGGGAGAGCGCAAGGGTGTGGGGTTGATCAGGGCTATGGGGAGAGAGCGGGGGAATGGGGTTGATCAGGGCTATGGGGAGAGAGCGGGGGAGTGGGGTTGATCAGGGCTATGGGGAGAGAGTGGGGGAGTGGGGTTGATCAGGGCTATGGGGAGAGCGCGGGAGAGTGGGGTTGATCAGGGCTATGGGGAGAGAGCGGGGAGTGGGGTTGATCGGGTCTATGGGGAGAGCGCGGGAGAGTGGGGTTGATCAGGGCTATGGGGAGAGAGCGGGGAGTGGGGTTGATCGGGTCTATGGGGAGGGAGCGGGGGAATGGGGTTGATCAGGGCTATGGGGAGAGAGCGGGGGAGTGGGGTTAATCAGGGCTATGGGGAGAGAGCGGGGGAGTAGGGTTGATCAGGGCTATGGGGAGAGAGTGGGGGAGTGGGTTTGATCAGGGCTATGGGGAGAGAGCGGGGGAGTGGGGTTGATCAGGGCTATGCGGAGAGCGCGGGGGAGTGGGGTTGATCAGGGCTATGGGGAGAGAGCGGGGGAGTGGGGTTGATCAGGGCTATGGGGAGAGCGCGCGGGTGTGCGCTTGATCAGGGGTATGGGGAGAGAGCGGGGGAATGGGGTTGATCAGGGCTATGGGGAGAGAGCGGGGAGTGGGGTTGATCAGGGCTATGGGGAGGGAGCGGGGGAGTGGGGTTAATCAGGGCTATGGGGAGAGAGCGGGGGAGTGGGGTTGATCAGGGCTATGAGGAGAGCGCGCGGGTGTGCGGTTGATCAGGGGTATGGGGAGAGAGCGGGGGAATGGGGTTGATCAGGGCTATGGGGAGAGCGAGGGGGAGTGGGGTTGATCAGGGCTATGGGGAGAGCGCGGGAGAGTGGGGTTGATCAGGGCTATGGGGAGAGAGCGGGGAGTGGGGTTGATTAGGGCTATGGGGAGGGAGCGGGGGAGTGGCGTTGATCAGGGCTATGGGGAGAGAGCGGGGGAGTGGGGTTAATCAGGGCTATGGGGAGAGAGCGGGGGAGTGGGGTTGATCAGGGCTATGGGGAGAGAGTGGGGGAGTGGGTTTGATCAGGGCTATGGGGAGAGAGCGGGGGAGTGGGGTTGATCAGGGCTATGGGGAGAGAGCGGGGGAGTGGGGTTGATCAGGGCTATCGGGAGAGAGTGGGGGAGTGGGTTTGATCAGGGCTATGGGGAGAGAGCGGGGGAGTGGGGTTGATCAGGGCTATGGGGAGAGCGCGGGGGGAGTGGGACTGATTTGGAAGGTCTTTTCGAAGAGCCAGCAAAGACACAATGGGCCGAATGGCCTCCTTCTGTGCGGTATAATTCAATAATTCTATGATGATGAGAGAGAGACAGATGGAGGGAGATTTGAGTCAATTATCTTCACCAGAGAGAGTAAGACAGACGAAGAAGGACGGAGAAAAAGCGTATGGAAATGAAAGTGAAAGATGTTTAACCTGTTCTTTATTGATTTCGAGCGCTGGTAAAACCTCTTTCACTGTCCGTTCGACTAATACTCCTCCCACCATCCGATAACACTTTCTTGTGGGTTCAACCTCCTTCAAGGTGTCTATCACCAGCCTGAGAGAGAGAGAGACGGAGAGAGAGAGTATGTGAGAGACTAAGAGAGAGGCAGAGATTGATAGGGAGCGAGAGAACAATAGTTAGAACAAAATTGTTGAGTTTGTGATAAAGGTGAGAGAAATGGAGTAAGTGTGAAAGAGAATGAATGGAGACCCCGGATACAGTTGTTAGGGGCCCTGGATACCCTAGTAACAGTTGTTAGGGAGGGATTTAGTTGCTGGGCTGCGATGGAGACCCTAGAAGCAATTGCTATGGGGGGATTTGGTTATGGCAGATTTCTAGTCTGCATTCACTAGACAGAGATGGAGATGCTCGATAAAGCTGCTAGGGTTCTGGATACCCTAGTAACAGTTACTAAGAGAGTCAAGAAGCTAGTAACGGATGCTAAAGAACATAAGAACATAAGAATTGGAAGAAGGAGTAGGCCATTCGGTCCCTCAAGCCTGTGCCCCGCCGTTCGATAAGATCATGGCTGGTCTTCAGACCTACCTCTAATTACCTGCCCTATCCCCATATCCCCTAATCCCTCTGTTTTTAAAAAATATATCAGTCTCAGCCTTGAAGATGTTCAAGGACTGAGCATCTACAGCCTTCTGGGGTAGTAAATTCCATAAATTCACTACCCTCTGAGTGAAGAAATGTTTCCTCAACTCTGTTCTAAAAGGCTGACCCTTAATTTTAAGATTGTGACCCCTGGTTATAGATTCTCCTACCGGGGAAACAGACCCTCAGTGTCTACTTTATCAGCCCTTTAAGAATCTTATATGTTTCAATAAGATCTCCCCTAATTCTTCTGTACTCTAGAGAATACAGCCCTAGTTTATTCAGCCTATCCTCATAGGTCAGTCCCCTCATCCCAGGAACTAACCGAGTGAATCTACGCTGCACCCCCTCCAGGGCAAGTATGTCCTTTTTTAAATAAGGACCAAAACTGCACACAATCCTCTCGGTGCGGTCTCACTAAGGCCCTATACAGTTGCAGCAAGACTTCCCTACTCTTACTCTAAACCTTTGGCAATGAACGCTAACTGCCGTTCGCCTTCTTAGTTGCTGCTGCACCTGCAAACTAACTTTTTGAGACTGGTGTACAAGGACACCCAAATCTCTCTGCACACTAACACTATCTGATCTCTCCCCCTCAAGAAAATAATCTGTTTTTCTATTTTTTCTACCTTGGTGAATAGCTTCACACTCCCCCACATTAAATTCCATCTGCCACCTACTCGCCCACTCCCCTCGCCTATCTATATCCCGTTGCAATCTTTTTGCATCATCCTCAGAGCTTACTCTCCCACCGAGTTTAGTGTCATCCGCGAATTTAGATACGTTACATTCAATGTCCTCGTCGAGATCATTGATGTAAATTGTAAATAGCTGAGGCCCAGCACTGATGCTTGTGGCACTCCACGAGTCACATCCTGCCAATTCGAGAATGACCCATTTATCCCTACTCTCTGTTTTCTACCCGTTAGTCCCTCTTCAATCCATGCTAATACGTTCCCATTAATCCCGTGGGCCTTAACCTTGTGCAATAGCCTTTTGTGTGGCACTTTGTCAAATGCCTTTTTAAAATCTAAATATACTGTTCCCCCCTCTCTAACCTGCAGATACATCTTCAAAAAACTCTAAAAGATTAGTTAAGCATGACTTCCCTTTTGTAAAGCCATGTTGACTGTCTAATCTTGTTATGGTCTTCCAGGAATCCCATAATGACATCCTTAATTAAGGACTCAAGAATTTTCCCTCCCACTGATGTCAGACTAACTGGTCTATACGGGATACACTTTATATTCTGTGAAGGGCTTTGAGACGGAACAAATTGGTAGGGAAAGATGGATACGGTTACTAGGGGTAGATCCCTGGTTGCTCGGGCGTCTCTCTGTTTGCCTGGGATGGTTGTTCAGGGTAGTCAGAGCCTCTGGTTGCCAGAGGCCTGGATACAGTTGCCAAGGAGAGATGGATATGGATATACCACAACTGGCACCGCCTTCCATCACCTCCGGAACATCGCCAGACTACGGCATTACCTCACCCCTCACGCTGCTGAAACCCTTGTTCACGCCTTTGTCACCTCAAGGCTGGACTATGGGAACTCTCTCCTCGCGGCCTTCCCGCCACCTCCCTCCACACTGCAGGTCATTCAGAACTCTGCAGCTCGTGTACTGTCCCGCACCAGACACCGCGACCACACCACACCCACCCTCGCCCTCACCCTCACCCTCGCCCTCGCTCACCTCCACTGGCTCCCCATCCCCCAGAGGATTGATTTCAAGATCCTCATCCTCACCTACAAGGCCATTCACGGCCTTGCTCCCTCCTACCTCTCCGACCTACTATCCCCTACCTACCTGCCCGTACCCTCCGTTCCTCTGGCTCCGGTCTGCTCCACGTCCCCCGCCCCAACCGCCCTACCATCGGTGGTCGGGCCTTCAGCCTCTCAGTCCCCAGGCTCTGGAACTCCATCCCCCAGTGCCTTCGCCGCTTCCTCTCTTTCCTCCTTCAAGGCCGGTCTCAAAACCTTTCTCTTTGACCGTGCCTTCAGCTCCCCTCTCGACTCTCTTCCCCCTCCTCGCTCCCTCCCTTCCCTCCCCTCACCCTGACCATTTCCCCCCTCCTCGCTCCCTCCCTTCCCTCCCCTCACCCTGACCATTTCCCCCCTGCTCGGGTCATGATCCAACTGTGCAGCGCCTTGGGACGTCCTCCTGACGTGAAAGGCGCTTTATAAATGGAATCTTGTTGTTGTTGTTGTTGTTTCCAGGGAGACATAGAGACATTTTTGTAATGAGATGGGGAGGAAGAAGGAAGTGCATCTCCTTACAGGAGACATGTCTGGAAGAAATAGGCAGTTCTGCAGGAATCCACAGCATTCTTGATGACCTGTTTGGCTGATCAATGAGATTTGGAGTTATGGACATGTCTTGAAACCTTGTGCCACATAGGTCAAAACAATAGAGTGATCCGAGCTGGATAGGTAATTTGAAAACTGTCTCTGAGTCATATGATAAGCTGTGCAGTTACATTCATATTACAGTGGAGTCCTGTATCTCGGTAGTTAGAGCACTCACCTCGCAAGCAAGAGATTTGGGTTTAATTCCCGGGAGGGTGAAACCTTGGGCAAGTTTGCTTGCTCCACATTCCTGACAACAATCCCTCAGAAAAAAAAACACAATAATAATTTGGTCATTTTCAATCCATGACTGTTTGTGGGACATTGCTGTGCGCAATTGGCTGCCGCGTTCGCCCACAAATATACAATCAATTCATTTTATATTCTGTGAAGCCTTTGAGACGTCGAGAAGACATGAAATGCGCTATATTCAAATGCAATGATTAATAATAGAGCCCCAGTGGCTGCATGGTTTGGGATTTGATCGCTTGGCAAAGATGGGGACCCTGGATACAGTTGCTAGGGGAGTATATTTGGTTGCTAGGGAGGGAGCCAGTTACTAAGGCACGATTAGTAACGGTTGTTAGTGATAGATCCCTGGTTGCTAAGCAGTTGCTAGGGAGCTCTGTACAGGTAATAGTTGCTGGTTAATGGTTTTAGGCAGAGATATGGTTACTGGAGATTACTGGGGTACTCGCCAGATGTGAGGCTCACCTCCAAACAGTTGCCAGAGTTAGACCCTCTGTTTGCTTGGGAGCAACATGGTTGCTAAGGCCCCCTCTGGATACCCTGGTAACAGTTGCTAAGGCCCCTGGTTGCTAGGCAGACTCTACCCCCTGACATCACACAGAGCCCGGGGGGGGGGGGGGGGGGCGTAGGTAACGGTTGCCGGGGGCAGTTGAAGCCCCTCCCCTGGTCACCAGGCCCCTCCACTGTCACCAGGCCCCGCCCCGGTCACCAGGCCCCTCCCCCTCTCTCGGTTACCGGTGTTCGGTCAGCTCCATCTCCAGTTCGGAAGCTTTGGCCGCGAGGCCCCGCTGCTCGGCCCGGAGCCGCTGGAAGGCGCTGACCACGTGCTCCGCCGCCATCGGGTCTGATCTGGGTCCTGCCCTGAGCCGGAAGTCAGTGACGCCCTGAAAGTGACCTTTATTTTGGCCTGAATTTTTTTAAAATGTAAAGCCACGGGTTTTGAAGCTGTTACAATGTGGCTAAACTAGTCTGCTTGGTGAATAAATTGGTTCAAATCGATTCGTTGGTGGTCGAGCCGAGATATCATTGTTTAAAGGTGATCAGGCGGCTCTCAGGGCAACTCACACAGACCTCAAAGGGCCAGAGTAGCCCAAAGCCACACAAAGTAGCCCAAAGTAGCCCAGAAAAGCGCTGAATGACCCAGAATAGCCTAAAGTAACCCAAAGCAAACCAAAGTGTCCCAGAATCGTCCAACATGTCCCAGAGTAGCCCAAAAGCTGATAGGGTTTTTGATGAAGTAACGGAGAGAGTGGATGAAGGCAGTGCAGTTGACGTAATTTATATGGATTTTTAAAAGGCGTTTGATAAAATGAAACATAAGAGTCTTGACAGCAAAATAGAAGCCCACGGTATTAAAGGGACAGTGGCAGTGGATACAGAACTGTCTGGGAGACAGAGAGCAGAGAGTGGTGGTGAACAGTTGTTTTTTTGACTGGAGGGAAATGTGCAGTGGTGTCCCCCAGGGATCGGTATTGGGACCACTGCTAAATCAATATAAATGACCTGGACCTGGGTATAGGGAGGGCAATTTCCAAGTTTGCAGATGATACTAAGCAATGAAAAGTAGTAAACAGTGAGGAGGATAGTAACAGACTGCAGAAGGACTTAGACAGACTGGTGAAATGGGCAGACACGTGGCAGGTGAAGTTCAATGTGGAGAAATGCGAAGTGATGCATCTTGAGAGGAAGAATGAGGAGAGGCAATAAAAGCTGATGGTACAGTCTTAAAGGGGGTGAAAGAACAGAGAGACCTGAGGGTTCATATAAGTAAATCTTTGAAGGTGATAGGACTGGTAAAGCTGTTAAAAAAGCATACGGGATACTGGACTTTATAAATAGGGGCATAGAATATACAAGTCAGGAAGTTATGATGAACCTTTGTAAAACACTGGTTAGACCTCAGTTAGAGACTGTTCAGTTCTGGGCATCACACTTTAGGAAGGATGTGTCAAGGCATTGGAGAGGGTGCAAAGGAGATTTACCAGGATGGTACCAGGAATGAGGGACTTCAGTTATCAGGAGAGGCGAGAGAAGCTGGGATTATTCTCCTTGGAGCAGAGAAGGTTAAGAGGAGACTTAATAGAAGTTTTTAAAATTATGAGGGGATTTGACAGGGTGAACAAGGAGAAACTATTTCCACTAGTGGATGGGTCGGTAACCCGAGGACACCAATTTAAAATAGTTGTTAATTAGAAACAGAGGGGAGGTGAGAATTTTTTTCACATAGCGAGTTGTTTGGATCTGGAATTCATTGCCTGAAAGGCTGGTGGAAGCCGATTCAATAACAACTTATAAGAGTGAAGTAGATAATAGTTCGGGGAGGACAAGTTTGCAGGGCTATGGGGAGAGAACGGGGGAGTGGGACTGATTTGGAACCTCTTTTTAAAGAGCCAGCACAGACACGATGGGCCGAAAAAACCCCTTCTGTGCTGCATAATCCTATGAATGCCCCAGAGTAGCCCAAAGTGATCCAGAGTAGCCCAAAGTGTCCCAGAGTAGCCCAACGGGTGAGTGTGACAGTGTGAGGGATGTGTGAGACAGTGTGTGAGTGTGAGGGAGTGTGTGAGATAGAGAGTGAGAGAGATTGTGTGGTTGACAATCGTGAGGAGGGGAGGGGCTGGGTGTCGGTGAGGCAGGGAGGCACTGGGTGAGGTTGTGGATGAAGATGTGGAGGGGCTGGGTGAGTGTTTGGGTGGGGAGGGCTTGGGTGTGGTAGAAGGGAGAGGTTCGGGGAAGGTGAGGGAGAGGAGGGACTGGGTGAGGTTGTGGGTGAGGGAAAGGGATTGGGTGTGGTTGAGGGAAGGGCTGGGCATGGGTGTGCATGTGGGATCTGGGCTGGGTGTGGGTGTGGGAGAGGGGTTGGTTCTGGGTGAGGGAGAGGGGCTGGGCGTGGGTGTGGGTGTGGGAGAGGGGCTGGGTGTGGGTGTGTGAGAGGGGTTGGTTCTGGGTGTGGGTGAGGAAGAGGAGCTGGGTATAGGTGTGGGTGAGGAACAGTGGCTGGGTGTGAGTGTGGGTGAGGGAGAGGTCTGGTTCTGGGTGTGGGTGAGGGAGAGGGGCTGTGTGTGGGTGCGGGTGATGTGACGATGATCCCAGTTTGTGATGTGACGATGATCCCAGTTTGTGGGATCATTTTGTGCGAGCCCAGTCCTGGAATAGCCCAATACCAGGATAACCCAATACCAGGGTAGCCCAATGTATGAATAGCCAAATTTTGGGCTAGCCCAAGACTGGGATAGTCCAATTTCAAGGCAACCCAATTTTGGACGAGCCCAATACAGTGCAGCCCAATATTGCTAAAGCACAATATCGGGTTAGCCAATATCGGGATAGCCCAATATAGGGGGAGCCCAATTATGAGCGAGCCAAATATCAGGATAGCCCAATATCACCAAAGCCCATTATCGTGGTAACACAATATCGGGGGAGCCGATTGTTGGGCTATTCAAATATAAGGGAGCCCATATTGGAGCAACACTATTTCAGTGTAGCATAATATCGGCGAGCCCAATACCGGGGTAGCCCAATAACGGCGTAGCACAAGTTTGGCTGAGCATAATACCGGAATACCCAATATCAGGGTAGCCCAATATTGGGGTAGCCCAATTTTGGGCATGCCTGATACCGGGATATCCCAGTATCGGGTAACTCAATTTTGGTGTAGCTCAATATGATGGTAGTCTAATATCCAGTGAGCCCAATTTCGGGGGAGGCCAATATAGAGGGAGCATAATATTGAAATAGCCCAATATTGGGGAAGTCCAATATCAGAGAAGCCCAATATCTGTGGAGTTTAATATAGGTTAGCCCAATTAAGGGCGAACCAAATATCGGGTTAGCCCAATATCGCCAAAGTCCAATATTATGGGGGAGCCCAATGTCGGGGTGGCACAATATCTGCAGGAGCGAATATCAGGGTAGCCCAATTTTGGACAAGCCAAATATTCAGGTAGCCCAAATTCAGGGAAGCCCAATATTTGGGTAGCCAATATCAGGGTAGCCCAATATCGGGGTTGCCCAATGTGGTGCAAGCCAAATATTGGGACAGCTCAATGTCAGGGTAGCCCAATTTTGTGCAAGTCAAATGTTGGGAGAGCCCAATTTCAGGATAGCCCAATATCGTGGAAGTCCAATATCAGGGTAGTCCAATTTTGGGCGAACCCAATATCAGGTATAGCCCAATATCGTGGTAGCCCAATACCGGGAATGCCAATATTAGAATAGCCTAATATTGCCAATGCCTCATATTGTGGGAGGCTAAAAAAGGGGGAGCATTGTATCGTGATACCTAATATCGGTGCAGTGGATGCCAATATCGGGGTAGCATAATATTGGATGAAACAAATATCGTGTTAGCCCAATATCGAGGGAGCCCAACGTCACGGTAGCTCAATACAGGAATAGCCCAATATCGGGGTAGTGCAACTTTCGGCTAGCCAAATACCGGGATTTTGGGCCAGCCCAATACAGGGTACCCAGTATCGCAATAGTCCAATATCAGGGTAGTCCAATATCTAGGCAGCATAATGTTGTGGTAGCCTGATATCGGGGATGCCAATATCGGTGTATCCTAATTTTGGACGTGACAAATATTGTTGGTAGCCCAATATCAGAGGAGCCCAATATCGGGGGAGCCTAATATAGTGTTAGCCCAATTATGGGCGAGCCAAATATTGGGGTTGCCCAATAAGGCCAAAGCCCAATAAGGGAGAGTCCAATATCAGGAGAGTACAATATCGGGGGTTCCCAATATCAGCGTAGCCAATTTTGGGCGAGCCCAATATAGGGTAGTTCAATATCAGGGTAGCCTATAATCAGTGTGGCCCACTTTTGGGCGAGCCCAGTACAGGGTAGCCGAATATCAGGTTAGCCTAATATCAGGGAGCCCAATACCAGGGTAGCCCAAAAAAGGGATAGCCCAATATCAGGGTTGCACAATATCCGGGTGGCCGAATTTTGGCCAAACCCACTACCGGGAAAGCCCAATATCAGCATAGCCCAATATTCTGGCAACCCAATATCGGGGGATTCCAATATCACTGTAGCCCAATAGTGGGATAGCCAAACATACGGGTATCCCAATACCAGAGTAGACCAATTTTGGGAGAGTCCAACATGGGGATAGTCCAATTTCAGTGTTGGAGCCCATTATCAGGGTAGCACAATTACACGGTAACCCAAATTTGGGCGAGCCCAATACAGGGTAGTCCAATATATGGATCGCCAAATAATGGGATAGCCCAATATTGGGGTAACTCAATATCGGGGTAGCACAATTTTGCCCTCAACCGTTTTGCCCTCAACCCCTTTGCCCTCAATCTCTTTGCCATCAACCCCTTTGCCCTCAACCCCTTTGCCCTCACACTTTTAACGTCACTCCCTTTGCCCTCACTCGCTTTGCACTCTCCACTTTGCCCTTCCCACTTTGCCCTCACCACCTATGCCTCACACCCTTTTCACTCACCCCTTTTTCCTCACAACTTTACCCTCACCCCTTTTACCCTCACCACTTTGCTCTCACCTCTTTACACCCTCCAGTCCTTTGCCCTTCATCACTTTGCCCTTCACGCCTTTGCTATCCAACAACAACAACTTGGATTTATATAGCTCCCTCCACCCATTTTCACTCCACCCGTTTGCCCTATGCATCTTTGTCCTCCACCCATTTGCCCCTTTCCCTCCAAACCTTTGCCCTCCACCCTTTTGCCCTCCACCTCTCTGACCTCCACCCCTTGCCCTCCATCCACCCCATTGCCCACAACCCGTTTGCCTTCAACCTTATGCCAACACCTTTGCTCTCAACCCCGTTGCCCTCAACGTTTGGCCCTCAACCCCTTTGCCCTCCACCGTTTTGCCCACAACCGTTTTGCCCTCAAACTCGTTGCCCTCAACCCCTTTGCTCTCAAACCCTATG